CACTCTGTTATGTGCGGTCATATAGCAATTTTATCCTTGCTTTAGTTACTGTATAACATGTTTATACCACTTCAATAACTTTTATTCTTAGATTTGCAAATTTAGCATCATAGTGGGGGTGTAAACGTATCATTCAACAATATCTCAGTTGAGAAAATCATTCCTCCAGAAAAAAATCCTTGACATGTAAGTATACGTGCTCTACTGAAAACTGAGAAACTCAATAAAGTAAGTCATTAATAGACGGCAAATAGCCTAAGTCACATAGGCTCAGACCGTAGATGATCGCGTCCGCAATGAAGTACGCAGAAAAATCCTCTAGTACAGGTATTTTCAAAGTATCGTTCATCAGATGTGGAAAACGAATGTGAGGTCTTTTAAGAAGAACGATTTTGACTTCGGCGAAACACATAGCGCACTACTAGCGATCTATATACATTCAGCTGTTTAAACTAGTGAACTTGTTTCTTCGAAAGTCCATTCTCTCACTATATCGTTTACAAAGCTCGCCTTCCTAGAGCAAGAAGTCTTAACCTATACCAGTGTTACCTGCTTATTACATTGAGATGTGAGGCTTGCTTTAACTAGACAAGTAACGCCAATGTTTGCGCACAAAGAACAAATTATTGTCTTTTAGTTAACAAAAAAAAATTTCAGCTAAATGACCACTGCAGGGGAATTACGTGCTCTCAGTATTATTGCATCTCCTATCTTTTAGAGTTGATCATTCATGGGAATTGTGCTAATTCTGCATCAATAATATTAGCAAAGTAAAGGGCTCTGCTAATTCAAAATCTTTTCTGATCTGGTTTTGTCCATTGAGTCTCAACTCAACAGTCAACGCAAAGAAGCAATTCTTATTGTTCAACATATTTACCTCTTTCTACCTCTCTCTGATTGATTAATCTCGTTATATGTCTCCCGAAACTCAAATCGGCGCAAACAACTTGATAAGGCAATTGTCTTCATCAAAATTATTTAGAGAGAGCACAACAGATTTCAAGAGCAAAGTGCTCATATGTGTTACGTTATACAGTTGTGTATTTTTGAAGAAGTAATTATATATAATAATACTTATATACTTATTTATCTATCTATATATTTGCAATGGTGTATGTGAGAAGATAATGGCAATCAAAGATCCTCTTCTTCCAAAAAGAATATTCTTCAGTTCTGTTTTCACACTCCTGAAATCTTATAGAAAGTTAACTGATGGCTCCATCTTCCATAGATAAGCATTCAAAATCCAATTACCTGTTCAGTATTAAGTAGGGCAGAATGAGCACGTCGAAGTAAATCAGTATCGTATATCCGTCGCAGACATATAACCAAAACGCAGGAATTTTTAATGGCGGACCGTACTCCCAATAAAGAAAGAAAATCAGTTCGATTGCTGAAACCACGGCAGCCTAGAAATCATTTGCAGTTAGAAGGATTCTAATAGTTCAGCTACATACTTGCACTGTCATTTGAATCTCGTGGTTTTTCTTAAACGTCAGATTTCCTTTCAAAAACAATGTAGCAAAAATGATAGTATACAATGAGATGCTCACAATACCAGCAGCAAAGTTGAAAATTTGATTCATCCTGTAAGGGATTCACTCTAATCATTTGAAGCAACTATAGAGTTTGCGTTAAGCAAAAAATTTATCATATTTTGCACATATATGCCTTACTTAACAGCAAGACCGGTCAAAGGTCTTTCGTCGAAATAGAAGAATAACTGCGATGAGCAGTACATCACCGAAGCCAGTGGAGTCATGATTAAGATTGTGTACGCAATATAAAATGCAATTATGAGAGCAATACAAAGCTGAAATTTGTATTAATTACGTAAACAGTCGTTTCTATACTTTGTATGTTCCAGTTCAATACTTTTAAAAAGTTTTTAGATAGCATCTTTTGTGTATGGAAGGGGAATATCGCGTAGAGGAGTCGATGAGCAGCGAGAAAGATGTTTGTTGCAATAAATGCGAACTGACTGCTTTGATGATTGGAGCCGACAATCTAAAACGCATAACTATGCAATTTGGACCTTCTTTTTTCACAATAATTTGGCTTACACGGTTGAGCAAATCGTTCACAGATAGAGTAATTGAGGTGATGTAGCAAATGACTGAGCCAACGTAATAAAGTACACTAAATACTGCCATAAGTAGCAGAAGACTGAAGGCGAAATTCGATCCCCATCCCTTTAATTTGTAACAAGCCTGAATTAGACGATATTTTAAACAAAGGGATAATAATAAGAAATAACCAGAGAAAACTAATGACCATCATACGCCATCTTTCTCTGATTCTGAATTCAGCGATTTTTCTAAGAGTCACGGATACAGATAATCTTTATGTCTCACAAAGCCTCTCACTGCTTTCTAACGGCTGTATAAAATTGCGACACAAATTTTAGCTTGAGAGCGTAGGTGGGTTATATGCATAAAATAGTACGAGCTACTTGAATATATAAGTATAGGTGCTCCACCTCTTATTCGAAAGGACTTGCATTGGCATCTCAAACAACTACAAAAGCAATTCGCATTTTAGCTGTAGTCGATAGCAAGACAAAATGAACAACCTAATTAGTACGTTTCAAAGGTTGCTCATGTTTACGTAGTTACTATTTTGGTTGACATTATAGTGATCGATAAGTGCTCTTCAAAATTCTCAAAACAAATGGGCTAATCTCACGACAACCAGAGAAACACATACACATACAGACAAGCTTATCGCTTTATTATTAGTATGATAGCGAAGGTTCAAGATTATTGTTTGCCAATCATTCGAATTCACAAGCAATCTTTAATCTCCAGAAGACTTAGGAATAAAAGAATACATTTAGCTCTCATCATAATCGTCACACACACACACACACACACACACACACACACACACACACACACACACACACACACACACACA